CCACATTAATAGCTTTTGATCTAATGATCAGATTTACAAGCATTAAGATGTTTTTGATGCATTTAATTTTTTATGCCTAATTTAAACTATGCATTTTCAAATGCCGAAATTCGAAATTCAAAGTTGTTGTTGTTGCCAAGCCTGTTGGTACGAATTTTGCTCCCAGCTCGAATTGACCGCAATGATCTAAAATATTCTCAGTGGTTCATGGATTTGAATTCCCTTGCCGTTGGGCTAAGCGAGGGAGGTTTCAATGATTTTCCTTTCCTTGTTACTCAAATGCGGGTTGGTATCATTAAAAAAGTCCTCCATAAAGGCTAGATTATCCCCATACTTGATCTAGAAGTTCCCTCGTCCTCTGGGGTGGGATCAAAATTACAAGATTACTGAGTTAAACATTGATAGTCGTTAACACGGAATTGAGTCGGCTGTATAACTCCATAAAATATATTGTGAATAATATTTTTGAAATAAAGTGTATTTTGATGATCAAGTATGCTAATCTGGTTCAATAAAGAATGTTTATTCTGATAAAGTATGTTTTTGTTTCTGTTTTCATAACTTAAAATATCGTCTGCACAAATTAATTCATCTATTTACAGTTAACCGTTTGTGAAATAATTACATTAGTACGTGAAAATCCGATCATGAGACCAAAAGTTATTCAGGTTTTGTTTTTCTTATTTTGCACACTTATTTGGAGACAGGTCCTTAGACACCATCGTAACTCGAATTCAACATTCCATTTAGTTCGACTGGTTCGTTTTAACTAGTTTACTGACTGGCTAGTTTACAGAGTTTGGATTGATTTGTTTCGAATAAACGAATTTCTTACAGCATGCAGATCATAAGTCAGAATACCAGTTATTGGTAGTACACAAAACCCATTTTTTTTTCTTTCCATAGCTAAATCCCTGATGAAACTACAGAATAGTAACACGAATATCTAAAAAAAAATGTAGGTTTAAATTTCATTCCAATTTTATATAAAATGCTTACAGATATATTGTACCGTACTTTGGAATTATTTTGATACTTCGGAATTATTTTTTTTCTTATTGCAAAGGTAACACAAAAGATGAAGAACAACAATTTAAAAGTTTTTCAGTTAAGAACAAAACGGAAACAAATTTGGAAACGAAAACAATTTCCTATCTGTCTCCGAAATGACATAATTTTTCCATAAAAAATCATATTAAAACTTGTTTTTTAGAAAGAAAAAAAATGTCTTCCACTCTTTAAATTGAAACCTCAACATTCAATTTAAAACTTGAATTTCTCGCTTAAAGCTTCCCTGCAGACGATTCTTTAATTAGCTTCAACGTCTCCCGCATCTCAAAAGCTGTCCCCCAGCGGAAGAAAAGAATCTAATCAAAATAAACGTAATCATTTGGGGGGTACACAACAGTCATTCTGCTTTACAGACAAAAGAAGATTCCAGAACTGAAATTATTACTGGGAGGGGATTCTTGGGTTTCCTCCCAAGAAAAGGGTATATAATGCGAACGTCTTTGAAAAGTAAGAAGCAATTTTATACTTTGTTGTTTATTTTACAAGATGGGGTGATATTTTCTTTGAAAAAAGTTTCACAAAAAAGCTTACATATTTCCCACAGTTTAGTGAGGCGTTCTAATGATTTATTTTTCTAATTATATAGTATGATTGCTGGAGTTTTTTAAAATACACAATATACTGGCGGCCGACTCAAAATTTACTTTCTCCATCTTTGAGGTGCAATGAGTCTCAATAAAAGTAATGTAAATTAGTTATAAGACTTGTTTTGGACCGGTGTCATTATTTACGCCATCCAGCAAAAGAATTTTGAATCATGTGTTTGCAATAGGTACCTGTAACAAAAGGTACTATATGCTAATCTTCAAGCATGTGCTAGAGATTTTTTTTATAGATTTGTTAGCGGCTGAATACGTTTTTTAAATTAGTTTGACTGGAAAATAAAACTCTTATAGTACTTAAATTTGGAGGCAAAACAAAAGTAGATAAATATTAAAATGTTACCCTCTTTAAGAAAATATATACCAGTTTTTTAAGAAAAATATTTTTTTCTGCTAGGCTTAACAAAATTTAAAAAGCACAGGATCGCACCACAAGTCAGTCTCAGTAATGTAATTTAGATCGGTCCAAAGCAAATGCAACAGGCCGGTAAAATCCTATTATAGCTCACCTCTTGGGGACTTTTTGAAATCTCGCCAAGTTGGCAATCATTACTGGGATCAATCATTACTGGAAAAATAATTTATATTATTTAAAAAAAAAATTAAATAATTACAAATCTATTAAAATATTTTAATAGAATAAAAGAAATTTATTTTTACTCAAAAAATGAAATAATAACGACGATTCTAACAGCATAAATGACGAAAAAATAACCCTTTTATCTCTTTGCTATAACGAAATAACGAACTTTCGCATAGGTATACATATCAAATAACCAATCAGGTTTAAGAATTTTGGTTGTGTGATCGGACGTTCAAAGTGATCTCCTCGAATTATATCCCGGAAACCTAGTTTGGCGAGATGTCAAAAACGTGCCTGGCGAGATTTAAAACAATCGCCTCGGAGTGGGTTATTATAGGATCCACCCCGATTAAGTTTAAATACCACTTCCCGTAGACGGTCACTCAAAATATGTAAAAGTGTCTAGGTTTAAAAATACGTTAAAATGCGAAATTTTTAAGAACAATAATTTTTTTAGGTAGACTATATTTGAGAGTGCCCCTTGATTCTCGCCAATTTGTGATCACGGTTGATCGCCAAGCTGGGCGATGTTAAAACCCAATCGTGATTCTTATTGGCTTAGATTTTAACGCTGTTTCTAAATGTTCAAGGGTATGTGTTATGTTAGAGGTCCATTAGTTCAACGTTGGATACCGGCTGATAAGGTTATTTTTGCATCTGGTCAATAAGATCGAAGGTATGTGGGCAGTCATAAAAAGGGATTTAAGAAAAAGATATCACAGCTAGTCCGGTATCACAGACGCCATTTTCGATTCGTATTTCGTCGCATTTATGTGGCGATCGATGGAGGTACACAGATTCTATTCATGATAAATTTAGACAGTATCTAACTGTTATTAGATAATTCTGTGCACCTAAATCTGAGAATATTCAAGGTTAATGAAGAAGTGAGTTGCTTTTTACCTTTTCTTTCTGTGCTTACTCCGTACTTAATTTTTGTTTCGATTCAAAATGCATTTTATTGGGTTACTAGCAAACTAGAAATAGCCACAAATGTCGGTCAGAAGAACAAAACCCCTTAAAAAATAATCAACCCATAGGCGTAATGTTACAACTTTCATTACAAGTTTTATTTATTTTCTAGTTACACACGTTTTGAATTAGATGCGCACTATATTGATCTTTAGTTCAAAATTAACTTCAGTAAAAAATTATAACAAAAAAAAAACAGTTTTAGTTATGATGTTATTTTTTTATTACATTATTTTGTGCTGTAGAAAAAAAAGGAAGAAAAAATAATTACGTATATAAGCATCAATTTAAACAAAGTGAATCTTAATAATAGCTTACCCATTAATATTTTTATCTCGAAAACTAATTTCAATGAAAGCTTGATAAAACATGGTTCATTTAACTTCCTTTGAAAAGGCGTTGAATCTGTTTCATTTTTTTCCAAGTTCTTTCGTCACATTCCGTTAATTTTATTTTATCCATTGTTGGAAAAAAAGTATAGGAGAAAGAGATCATCTTTAACTCTCCTAATTGTTCTGACTTGCAACGCCAACTAGCATTCCAGAAGCTCTAGAAAACTATTTGAAAAAAACGCGAATAAAAAAGTTCTAAATGCTTTGAATATCGCCAAAATCTTCATTTCTGGTGACATCTTTAAAACGGAAATGCTTTCCTTTTAAAGTGAAAAATCCCACTGATTTATTTCGCTTTCCTTTGTCTCTCACAAAATAGAAAAGTTTTTATTTATACTCAGTTCACTTCACTTCTTATTCAAGTTTCAGTATTATTATTTTTTCTTATCGTTTGCATCTTTTGACTGTCATCGAAAGAATGGAACTGGAGGCTATATTTCAGAAATAGGGAAGAAAGTGGCAAAAACTATTGTTGTTGTTGATGAATATTCCGTTTTCTATTCTTTGGAGTGTTTTCATTTTCTTTTTTTTTCCCTCCGTACTGCCACCCATCTCCTCATTCAAGTCGTTCTCTTTTCGATTTTTTTTATCCTTTTCAAAAGTCTCGTCTGCGATGCTGTTCAACTCGAATAAGTTTTCTTTTTCTTTTTTTTCCACAGAGGCTGTCTACATATTGAAAGACGGTGATTTATTTATGAGGAGATTATTTTTCACTGATAAATTAACTAATTATTAGGATAAAAATGCTACTCCAACGAATGTTGTCGTTGCGTAGAATTTATCATGACACGAACTGTGTTTTTATTTGCCATTTAACTTGTCTACAATTGAATTAATAACTCGAAAAACAAAAAGTAAAGAATACTTATGGTAGACACGTAAATATTTTCTTTTATTGCACATTGTAGTTTTATTTCAAATTACACTGATAAACAAATTTAAAAAAAGTTGATAATATTTTGGTATCTAATGCATTTACTAAAAAAAATTAAAATATGCTCTTTCAAAATATACGTAACATTTATCTCGTCGGCATATCGTTTTTCAGATATGCTTCTCCAACCGTTTATTTTTCGCTAAAGCTCTTGTTACATAATAAGCTCCCGATATCTAATCTCATTCGATTATACATATGCACACACACACAACATTAAAGTTCAAGATGTAAAGTCAAATCTTGGAATGGAATACAAGGCTGGAGTATACCTCAGACTTAGGAAGTATTTTTACTTCCTTGGAACTAATAATGCTTAACTTTAGAATACTTCCTTAGTCTAAGGTATACTCAAATGTTCCACTCCGAGATTTAACTTTACATCTTGAACGTGAATGTTGAAGAAAAGTGTAAATGTAAAAAACACCAAACAGAACATGAAGAGAAACATTATAAATTCGTTTAATTAAAGTGAAACAAACATTATTAAAGCTGAAACAACATTATTAAAAATGTAACACAATATAACTACATATTCTTTATGTTAAGTGTATGTAAAGTACTTTAGAACAATTGTTAGAAAATACATAAAATTTTCATAGAAAAACAATTTTGAGAACATAATTCGTTTTCTTTTAATATCGGATAATTGTAAAAGCTTAATAGTTTTCTTAAAAAATCATATTTATAGTGAATAAATATTATTCATTCTTTACATAACCATTTTTTTAATCCAAATTGTTAATCCCTTTGCATGAAAAGTAAATTTTTTTAAATAATTGTAATGAGTAGTTTTAAATAACCTTTTTTTTAGTCGTAATGGGTTAGTTAAAGAAGCTGAAAGGGGTACAACCTGAAACCCTAAAGGATAATTCGAAAACAGTTAAATGGGGTAACTTTGAAAGAAATTGAAAATACTAAAAGGAAGCAAAATTTAATCAAGTTAAATTATGAACGTCAGAAGCTCTTTGCATTAAACCATAAGACATCTTGTTGTAGGCTTAGCTGTAATACACAATAATGATCAGCAATTTTTTAAAAAATTTTGCCAATAAACTGTTGTTTAGTATTTACTTAAATGAGTTATTAAAAAGACGTGATTTTTTTTCCATAAAGGTTTAGAACTACACAAATACTTTTTTTTTTCAAAATTGAAGATTTCTCAGTTTTAAATTCTTTTACCTTTTTTATCGTGACATTAAATGACACAAAATTAACAATAGAAAAAGGATTTAAGACTTTTTATTTGTGATGAAACTTGAAAATGATTTATGTTAAAAAATATTTTTGGAAACGCACATTTACCTGCATTACTTATAGTTACCAGATATGCTACTTAGATACTTTAATAACGTCAGATAAAATTAAATTTAAATTACAAAATACTGTATGGAAATTGCTTGTATATTCATTTTATTTTTGGTGAAATTGCAAATAAAAGAAATAAGAAATATAACTTTAAATTAGCTCCATAAAAATATAACTCCGTTTCTTAATATTTTGAAGTAAGCATAAGAAAATAAATATCAAAACTAAATTCTGTTATAAGAGTACAAAGTATACAACAAAGAAATATTAAAAAAAATATTTTCTTGGGACATTTTGAAAAATACACAAGTAAAAATTTCAATATTGCAGAAATAGTGCCAATTTCACAATATGCTCCAAGCCAGCTCCTTTGCATAATTTCAAGAATCTTTCTCTGAAAAAGATAAGATTTTATAAATGAGTTACTTTTTTTAATAATTTTAAGACTAGAAATGGGCAGGTACCAATTTTTTGGTATCAGTTAAAGTGATACTGGTACATTTAAGTACAAAAAACCTATTATAAGAAACTTCTCACACTTTTAGTATGAAGTACACAAAAATCTTAATTTATAGAGGCGAAGAAAAATCAAAAAGTTAATCCATCAGTTGTTGAGTTAAATCTATTACAAAATTAATTATTACAAAATGTATTTTAAGATGCATTCGTTTCGATGTGTTTAGGGGGGAAAACAGAGAGGAGTTGAAAAGGTGATTTCGTGTTTTTTACAAACAGTGTTTCTAATAATCACCTTTTTAACTCCTTTTTTGTTTTCCCCAGTAATCATAAGAGATTTCATACTTTTTACAAACAGTTTGTGATTATGATCCCGTTTTCGTCATCTACTTCAATCTACATCACTCACAACACGGTATTTTTATTAATATTGTTCACCCTCCTCACTTTTTGTCCAAAAATAATTTTGACTCCTTACGTGTATATATTTTAGATTTCATTTTTGACATACATTATAAAAATACATGAAGTGTATAGAATCTATAATAGCACTAAAAACATATAAAAATGTACAATAGGATTTTAACTAAGGACCACACTGGATAACTTAATAGGAACTGAAATTGCATTTATGTTGTAAAATATAAAAAATATAAAGTAGTTCTTTAAAAAATATTTTAGTACAAGGTGATTTTGCCTCCTTTGTTCAATTCAAAGAACAATAAAGCATTATTCAGCAATCAGAGCACTATTATTTCTTAATTTCCTTTGCAGTCAGAGCCATGTGCAGAAGTGCTAAAAATTTTTAATAGAAGTGCTAGAAATCTCTTTCCATTGAATCTTTCAACCACAAATTGATGGACTCTGAAAGATCAAAACATTGAATGGAGACATTTTAATGAAAATTCAGTTTTACAGAGTCTCTTTCTTCATTGTTACACTTGATTAAATGATCATTAAATGATTTTAAAGAAATAGCCCTGTTGTTTATTTAAGTCGCATTTTTTTGTTAAATCGCCAAGTGCTTATTTCAGGACAAATATAGAGAAACTAATAAGATTAGGCGAGAGTTGATAAATGATTTTTAAATATGAATTGTTAAAATGAACAACGTAATTATAAAATTAAAATTGATAACATCATAAATACTATTTTAATTCATATACCCTGTAAGTCCCCAATATACAAATTTCAGCTACATTTTTTTTTAAATTACGAAACATAACATATTTTCTAATTAAAAAATGACTTACTCTAGCGAAATTTGCATTGCGTTTTGGTTCAAACATCAATCAACTTCGAAACAACTTCAACGGCTAATTTCATGTTCTTTTCCACCCACTCTGGCCAAACAGTTGAGGAAATGATCTTCTTTTTGTTTTCTTTTATAAAATTAACTGCCCACAATTTCAAATTCGGTTGATTGACCGCATCAGAAGCAGAAACCACTTCACAGACGTTCTCCAACGACAGTTCGGACATCAGTGTTAATGAGCATCGATTCTTCAAGTTATCCACTTGATATTTATCAGCCACAAACATCAGTTTCAACAATTTCTCATAATCAGTGTTGGTGATCGTGTCAGTGTACAGAAACTCTAAAAATGATTGCAGAGTTTCACTTTCTACATCTGGAATATCAACAACGGCAGTCTGAGATTCCAGCATATTTTGATCAAACATTTCAGAGAACACAGGAGATCGAGCTGACAGCAAGCATTTGTGAGCCGGGATGATTTTGTCACGTGTCTTCAATTTAACGTCACTATGCTTGTCATTCAATAGCATTTCTTTGAGATTTTCTTGCAGAGGTAAAGGAGAAGCCTTTAAACATGGAAAAGAATCATCCTGTGTCCAATTCGCAGCGCTCGAATCCGAATTTCCACCAGAAGTTATAACGGTACATACCAGTGTGAACGAATACGGTAAGTGAAAACGTGATTTGTCTACAAGTTGACTTTTTTCAATCCATGTCTCAAATTTCTGTATTTCGACAACTTTTTTTGGAAATTCGCAATCTATTTTACGATTTTCCTCATTCAATACTGCGATTTTCAGTTTATAAGGTTGTAATAAGTCCACTTTTTCAAATTTTATGTTGATTCTCTCATCGGAAGCGTGCATAATAATATCTATATGAGTGCATTCATGAAATAGAACTTTTACTTTCTTCGTCCAATTTTCAGGACCAGGAATATTTACTTTCCACTGCGTATGGATAGTCGGAATTTCCACCGTCATTGCTTGTTTTTTGTAGCTTGCATCAATTATGTGGCAGCGGACAGTTAATGTCGGATTAACACGTTCCGTAAATTTCTCACATAGTTCCAAGAAATTATCATCTAGAAAACTGCTAGAACTTTTTGAAAAAGTAATATTTTCCTTTACGACTGATTTGATAATCTTTCCATCAATATCGATCAATTCTAATTTATATGTTACTGAAACATTTTCAGATTCGCTCTCGTCATTTTCCCTGCATAGACAACACATAAATGAACTTGGAAGAAATTGATTTTTGTACAGTCTTAAATACCATTTAGTTCCTTTCAATGTTGCAGCCTCAACTGTGGGACTCGTTTTCTGGTAATTACCCATTGTATTTATTAAATCAATAAGGTTACCGATTTCCCAAGTGAAAGTAAACACTCCTTCAGTTTCCATAGACATAATAAAAAACTTAATACTTTGAAAATTTACAGTGTTTGAAGCCTGAAATAAATATTTTTTATTCCATAAACGACAACTTATATAATTTTACCACATATTAGCATTTCATGAACTGATTACTTCTTCTCTTTCAGATGATGTAGTTGCTACTATCATGTGACATATGCAAATGATAAGATATCAGCATTTTGAGATTTTTTTTATAGTGACTTCCATCGAAGTGGGCGTTGAGTAGACAAATTTTAAATACTAAATAGTTTATTACGAAATAGTTTATTACATGGAAGGTTCAATTATTTTTCAAGGGAATTCAAGACACAACAATTATCAATTTACAATGCAATTTATTATCTTTCTCTAAAAAAGGAATGTTATCTCAATGCTGACGAGGGATAAGAATTGGTTTCGTTCATTTTCATGAATTGGTTATAATTGAATAATTAAACCTTTTTTTTAAAAAAAAAATTGAAAATTTATAATTTAAGGTATGATAGCGACAACAGTTTTGCTTTTTTGCTTTTTTTTTGTACTTATTTTTAAATTCCTTTATTTCAAAACAAATACGGCAAATATTACCATCATAAAACCAAACCATGTTTTTCTACAACTTTGCAACTTGGGGGCCGTTCAAAAAGTACGTACACAAAAATGGAGAAATTTTAAACCCCTCCCCCCCCTTCGTACATTACCGTACATAAGGTCTTACTCCTCCCCTTAGAGTACGTACATTTTATTAGTCTACCCCCCTTTTTCATAAAAATTAAAATAATTATGTTTTAAATAAAATTAAATATTTACTTAAGGAGTGTGTAGGATAAAGTCAAATTTAAATTTGGTGTATGTTTATAAGGTACGTACTTTGTATAATACCCCCCCCCTCCCCATCGTACAAAACCGTACATAATAGCAAGTCCCCTCCCCCCTTCGGGATGTACGTACTTTTTGAACGGCCCCTTGGTCAATTGATGGTATACAGAGCATTTTAACTACAAATGTGTAATACACTATAGGTAATCGATTTTATACTATAGCTCTGACAGCTTAAACTTTATTTTTTACCTTTTGATAATTTTTGTTTTTTTTCATTTTTAAAGAAATACGGTCAACTATTACATAAAACTAAGTTTTTCAACAAATCTCAACTTAATCAATTCGTTGCATATAAAACATTTTGGCATAATGCACTGGTAAGAAATTCATTTTCTAATGTAGAGACAAGTAAATCTTTATTTATTTTTACATTTTTGTTGATATCTTTATATCTGTTGCTTTTTTTAAGAATAGGGCAAATATATTACATGAAACCATATTTTGCAAGTAATCGCAACTAGATAAATTTGTATATACTATTAACAAGCAATCTTTTAATTCACTGTTAACAATGAATTTTATAATACACTCAAAATTTCATACGTTTACTATACTGTATGGTCAATAAATCTTCACAAAAGCACTTAAGTATGCTGTTTTCATTGACCAATAAAACGCTTTTATTGAAAACTCTTCTTTTACACAGAAAAAAAGTTCCTAATCCATAAAACAGATCATCAAACTAGTTCTAATTCATGATTCAAATAACTAGCCTCTAACTAAAAATGGTGAAAAAAAACAGCAGTTTTTGAAGAATAAGGTTCTTAAGAAGTTTTTTTTTGTGTGGCTAATTGTTTAAATAAGATGGCCTCTGACGAAAACATTTTAACTCAGAAATTAATAAATATTTTCAAAGAGGCAGATATAATCAAGAATATTAAAATAAAATAGAAAAATTAAATTTGCTTCTGATATTATCAGAAAGAATGGATTAAAAGAAGTTTTTTACTGATCGAAAAAGAAGAAGGCCAAAACCACTGTGGCTCGATTCTGGGGTATCAGATTTTAAAGTGATAGGAAGAAAAGATTGACAGTCCAGGTTAAACAGAAGGCTGCCTTGGTGAAATATTCAGAGGAAGACCTAGACCCACCCTGGGAAGTCATATGTCAAATATGATGGTAATGTGTGCTATATAGCGTCATCTATATTTTAATAAAAACAATTTAATTGCTGATTTTAAAAATAAAATGGACTTGATAAGTTAAAAAAAAAAGCCTTAGAAATTATATAAATTTATAAAAAATAAATTACTCACTTTCATAAAAGTTGTTTTGGTTTTAATCAGCAATAATTTTCATTAAAATTTCGTTAGCCAATTCCATATTCTCTTTCATCCAATCTGACCAAACAGAGGATGAAATTATTTCTCGTTTATTTACTCTTATAAAATCTAATGCAGACAGTTTTAGTTCCGGATGATTTACCATTTCAGCAACAGAAATTACATGGCAAATGTTTTCCACGCTCAATTTTGTAGTCAGTATTTGTGAACATCGTTCTTTCAGTTCGTCAACTTGATATTTATCTGCCACTAACGTCAGTTTCAAAATTTCCTCGCAATCGGTAACGGTTATCGTGTCAGTATACAGAAACTCTAAAAATGATTGCAGAGTATCACTTTCTGCATCTGGAATATCAACTACGCCAGTCTGAGTTTCCAACATATCTTGATCGAACATGGTGGAGAACACGGGAGATCGGGCTGACAGCAAGCATTTGTGAGCNGACATGTCATCATCATCCGAAGACATCCAGGGCTTGTCCCTAGGTGCCCACTGGGTAAAGATAAGATAGTAGATCTGGTAGTAGTTCACTTACGTCGTACTAGAGCAGCACAATGGGCCATTGGCGACGGCCTGAAAAACATTCCAAAGGATGATCCGAAGACATGTCATCATCATCCGAAGACATCCAGGGCTTGTCCCTAGGTGCCCACTGGGTAAAGATAAGATAGTAGATCTGGTAGTAGTTCACTTACGTCGTACTAGAGCAGCACAATGGGCCATTGGCGACGGCCTGAAAAACATTCCAAAGGATGATCCGAAGACATGTCATCATCATCCGAAGACATCCAGGGCTTGTCCCTAGGTGCCCACTGGGTAAAGATAAGATAGTAGATCTGGTAGTAGTTCACTTACGTCGTACTAGAGCAGCACAATGGGCCATTGGCGACGGCCTGAAAAACATTCCAAAGGATGATCCGAAGACATGTCATCATCATCCGAAGACATCCAGGGCTTGTCCCTAGGTGCCCACTGGGTAAAGATAAGATAGTAGATCTGGTAGTAGTTCACTTACGTCGTACTAGAGCAGCACAATGGGCCATTGGCGACGGCCTGAAAAACATTCCAAAGGATGATCCGAAGACATGTCATCATCATCCGAAGACATCCAGGGCTTGTCCCTAGGTGCCCACTGGGTAAAGATAAGATAGTAGATCTGGTAGTAGTTCACTTACGTCGTACTAGAGCAGCACAATGGGCCATTGGCGACGGCCTGAAAAACATTCCAAAGGATGATCCGAAGACATGTCATCATCATCCGAAGACATCCAGGGCTTGTCCCTAGGTGCCCACTGGGTAAAGATAAGATAGTAGATCTGGTAGTAGTTCACTTACGTCGTACTAGAGCAGCACAATGGGCCATTGGCGACGGCCTGAAAAACATTCCAAAGGATGATCCGAAGACATGTCATCATCATCCGAAGACATCCAGGGCTTGTCCCTAGGTGCCCACTGGGTAAAGATAAGATAGTAGATCTGGTAGTAGTTCACTTACGTCGTACTAGAGCAGCACAATGGGCCATTGGCGACGGCCTGAAAAACATTCCAAAGGATGATCCGAAGACATGTCATCATCATCCGAAGACATCCAGGGCTTGTCCCTAGGTGCCCACTGGGTAAAGATAAGATAGTAGATCTGGTAGTAGTTCACTTACGTCGTACTAGAGCAGCACAATGGGCCATTGGCGACGGCCTGAAAAACATTCCAAAGGATGATCCGAAGACATGTCATCATCATCCGAAGACATCCAGGGCTTGTCCCTAGGTGCCCACTGGGTAAAGATAAGATAGTAGATCTGGTAGTAGTTCACTTACGTCGTACTAGAGCAGCACAATGGGCCATTGGCGACGGCCTGAAAAACATTCCAAAGGATGATCCGAAGACATGTCATCATCATCCGAAGACATCCAGGGCTTGTCCCTAGGTGCCCACTGGGTAAAGATAAGATAGTAGATCTGGTAGTAGTTCACTTACGTCGTACTAGAGCAGCACAATGGGCCATTGGCGACGGCCTGAAAAACATTCCAAAGGATGATCCGAAGACATGTCATCATCATCCGAAGACATCCAGGGCTTGTCCCTAGGTGCCCACTGGGTAAAGATAAGATAGTAGATCTGGTAGTAGTTCACTTACGTCGTACTAGAGCAGCACAATGGGCCATTGGCGACGGCCTGAAAAACATTCCAAAGGATGATCCGAAGACATGTCATCATCATCCGAAGACATCCAGGGCTTGTCCCTAGGTGCCCACTGGGTAAAGATAAGATAGTAGATCTGGTAGTAGTTCACTTACGTCGTACTAGAGCAGCACAATGGGCCATTGGCGACGGCCTGAAAAACATTCCAAAGGATGATCCGAAGACATGTCATCATCATCCGAAGACATCCAGGGCTTGTCCCTAGGTGCCCACTGGGTAAAGATAAGATAGTAGATCTGGTAGTAGTTCACTTACGTCGTACTAGAGCAGCACAATGGGCCATTGGCGACGGCCTGAAAAACATTCCAAAGGATGATCCGAAGACATGTCATCATCATCCGAAGACATCCAGGGCTTGTCCCTAGGTGCCCACTGGGTAAAGATAAGATAGTAGATCTGGTAGTAGTTCACTTACGTCGTACTAGAGCAGCACAATGGGCCATTGGCGACGGCCTGAAAAACATTCCAAAGGATGATCCGAAGACATGTCATCATCATCCGAAGACATCCAGGGCTTGTCCCTAGGTGCCCACTGGGTAAAGATAAGATAGTAGATCTGGTAGTAGTTCACTTACGTCGTACTAGAGCAGCACAATGGGCCATTGGCGACGGCCTGAAAAACATTCCAAAGGATGATCCGAAGACATGTCATCATCATCCGAAGACATCCAGGGCTTGTCCCTAGGTGCCCACTGGGTAAAGATAAGATAGTAGATCTGGTAGTAGTTCACTTACGTCGTACTAGAGCAGCACAATGGGCCATTGGCGACGGCCTGAAAAACATTCCAAAGGATGATCCGAAGACATGTCATCATCATCCGAAGACATCCAGGGCTTGTCCCTAGGTGCCCACTGGGTAAAGATAAGATAGTAGATCTGGTAGTAGTTCACTTACGTCGTACTAGAGCAGCACAATGGGCCATTGGCGACAGCCTGGAAAACATTCCAAAGGATGATCCGAAGACATGTCATCATAATTTTGATCCTCTCGCTTCGTTAGCCCAAAGACTTGTACGCGAAGTCGAGCACTTCACGGTTGAAGAGTTTAGTGAGGGCCAATACCGCACACCCTCGGTACCTACGCAGATTGATCCAAGTGGTCACTCACCCGCACACTGACAGCAGCCAGGGATACTTGACTTCGGTGATCTGCTGGGAACTGTGTCTTAACGGTCAGCCCACTGCGGACCTGAGACCAATTAGAAATAGACCCAACTGCCTTCCATTAAAAAAATAAATTACGTTTAAAAACAAGTTAACTTGTCGACTCTTATAGAAAAACCCAAGTATCTCTGAGATTCAAGAACCCTAGACTCAAACGTAGTGGTGTGAATATTGCTTATAATTTCAGCGTATCACTTAAAAATTCGCAAAAGTCCATGAACCTTATGAAATATATTGGAGAAGTCAAATTACACTAAAAATGTAAGATTTTAATAATAAAAAAAAAATAGTTCTAGCAACGATGACACAATAATAAACGAGAAAATTTAATTTTCTTCATTTCTTAGCTTTGTGTAATTATTTTTCCATTTTTTGTTTTAAAAAAATTCGACACCTTAAAGACAGTAACAAAAAGAAAAGTGTCCCATTGTCCTCTGACAAATCCGTCATTTATTTTAAAAGGTGTAAAATAATCATAAAAACGATTAGAGAGCCACTGTGGCTCAGGGGATAAAACGTTCGCCTTTCAATGAGGTGAACGGGGTTCGAATTCCAGCGATGGCTGGTCGATACGAACTCCGCTTCTGGCTTGCGCCGACCACAGTGCTGACGTGAAATACCCTTAGTGGTAGACGGATCCTGGGCAAAAGTCCCCTTGCCATCAGGTTAACCATGATAGGCTTTTATGGTTTTCCTCTTCATGTAACGCAAATGCGGGTTTTTTTCATCAAGAAGTCCTCCACGAAGGCAAGTATCTCCCAATACTTGATCCAACAGTTCCCTTGTCTTCTGGATAGGGGTTCAAAATTACAAGGCTACGGAGTTAAACGTTAGTAGTCGTGAACCCAAAAAATTGGGTCGGCTGTTTAACGACGGTTATAAAATAAAATGCGCAGGTTATTATTCTGTCTGTTTGATGGTATCAATATAGAGTGTAAGAAAGAGCTATTTACTGAAGTGATATCCTAATACAGGCAAAGGGTATTGCAAAAAAATTACACAGTATTACAAAGAACAACAGTTTAATAGCAATTACGTTGCTGAAGTAAATACTGTCGGGCTAACCGTGGGAGTTTTGTGTAGTTTTCTTCTGGTTTCTTTCGTGGTTTTTAACGCAAATGCGGGTTACTACAAAGGCAAATTTCAATTGATTCAGGAGTTCCCTTGTCTTCTGGATTGGGTTCAAAATTGCAAGGCATTGGTAGTCGTAAAGTTGGTCGTAAAGTGGTAGTTGGGTCGGCTGTTCAACGATGGTTATAAAATAAAAAAATAAAAACGATTCGAAATAATAAGATTCTCCACCTGACGTCACCCGCAACCACGCCCCGATGTAGGCGAACACAATTTTTGAGCTTTAATTAAAAATGAACTTGCCATCAAATTAACATGATACTATAAAAATAACCTTTTAAGTACCTCTTGAATGATTATCATTTTTTTTTTAAATGATCAATTTCAAGAATAGGTTTCTTCCCTATTCAATAATAGGCATAACTATTTTTTAAAATCATTCTTGCGTTTATTTCGTTTTGTTGTGCTTTAAAATAATTCTTACCAAAATTTAATTTGATTTCATCTAGATATTGTAGGTCACAAGCGATAGAAAACAGATAGGTCAATTATTTTTTTTCTTTTACTTGAAAAAAAAAATGAAATGGTAAAATCTTTATAGAGAAGGAACACCCTCTCATGGACTGGACGTAAATTTTAAAATAAACAGAGAATCGTTCTTGATTTGACCGCCAGATGCCGCTCCGTGCGATATTTCCCAACTCTCACTTTGAGGAGAGATAAATCTGCTTTTATTTTTACACTGAGAATAAGGATTAATGAACCCGTTTTATAACTTAACGAGGAGCTTTAGATTTAGAATATTTTCCTTATTTTAATTTGATTTGAATAGTTAGTTATTATTACAGTTAGATGCAGATCATTAAAGACAATTTACAACTTAAAATTCATAGTTTACATTGGCAAAAAAATTTTTTTTATGATTACATATTATGTTTTACTATTATAATTTAATATAGCAATAAAGACATTAGAATCTTCACCCCCCCCCAACATAAAT